ATTGCCTTCTTGCCTGTATGGTTTCTGCTGAATAATCTGATCTTAGTCTTATTGTTTCTCCTTTGTCTGTGACTTGTTGTTTTTCACGAGCTGGTCTGAGGATTCTTTGTTTGTCTTTGGTTTTGGCAAGTGTGATTACAGTATGCCTTGGTGATTTTCTTTTGGGGTCTATCCTATGTGGGGTTCGTTGAGCTTCTTGGACGGCCAGCTTTTCATGTTTCATGATATTGGGGAAGTTTTCTGTCAGCAGCTATTCAATGATCCTCTCTGTGTTTTCTGTTTTCTCCCCCGTCTGGAAGTCCGATCACTCGCCGATTTTTGGTTTTGATTGTATCCCACATAATTCTCAGGGTATCTTCATTTTTCTTCATTCTTTTTTCTGAATTTTCCTCTAACAGAGTTGTATCCAAATGTTTGTCTTCAGTTACGCTGATCCTGTCTTCCACCGTTTCAAATCTGCTTCTCAGCCCTTCTATGACACTGTTCATTTCTGAAATCTTGTTGTTTATCTTTTGGATTTCTAATTGTTGTTTTTGTATAATTTCTAGTTGTGAATTCATTTTGGCATTTTTTTTCCTGCATTATTTTCCTGAATTCTTACTTTTTTTGTCAGTATTTTCCATGAATTTGTCTGCCTTTTCCATGAATTTGTCTTTTTTTCCACATTTTTGTCTGCTTTTTGCTTCTGCTCTTGGATGATTCTGAGTATTAGAGATTTGCATTCCCTATCAGGTAGTTGTAGTGCCTTTTGTTCTACTGGAGAGTCATCTGGTGTTTTATTTTGGATGCCTCCTGGAACCATCCTGTCCTGTTTTTGTAAATGTTTGGATATTGTCTGTTGTCTTTGGGACATTCAGTAGCTGTTTTTTTCATTTATTAATTGTAGATTTGTTTGTTTCATCCTGTTTTTTTAAATTGGCTATGTCTGAGTAGGCAGGCTGTGTGTTCTTTGTTGTTTGCTTGTCTTTGGGCATGATACTTTTCACCTCCTTCTTCAGTTGGCAGGCTTAGTCACTCAGATATGGTACAGAAGAGGAGGTCTAGCTGAAGAGGAGTTGTTCACATGGGTTGTTTGTGACACTTACTGCTGCCATCAGGGCGGGCTGGTAGTCAGTGCAGGTCAGGTTCCAGTAGGCTGCGCCTGTGCTGCTTGGTGGTGTGACGTTAAGTGCACGGTGCAGATAGGCAGGATGGAGAGGGTAAATTGTGATGTGTGTAGCTAAGATGTGTATGGGAGAGAGGAGAGAGGAACAGGAGCCAAAAACATACAAACAAACAAAAAGGAGTGCTAGGGGAGCTTGCCGTTGGGGTGGAGAGATGAGAGACTATGAAATGGAGAAAACCAAAAAGGGGAAGAAAAAGAAAAAAAAAGAAAAAAAAAAATGAATAAATAAAAATTAGAAAGAAAAGCAAAGCTTCCAGGGATCCTACTGGTGCATCTCCGAGGTCTGGGGAAATTGTTCCCGTGTGTCCAAGTATAGGCTTGCTAGAAGGCAGAGAGGGGTCACTCAGTTCCAGGTATTCAGGGGACAGGAAGAGAAGGAGGGTATAGAGGGACAAGAAACTGAGTAATGAAGAAAGACAAAAAGAGGGAAAAGAAAACAAAACAAATTAAAAAAAAAAAAAGAACAAAGAAACCCCCCAAAAAAGAAACAGACAAACAAACAAAAAAACCCACGAAGAAAGTAATGCTCTCAGGGATCCCTCTGCGCATCTGCGCAAATTGAGATGGTAGGTCCCAAGCCACGCAGTACTACCTGGCTAGAACAGGCTCCAAATTTGAGAAAAGAGAAAGAGAACAAACAAACAATTCATAACAAACCAAGCAAAAAAAAAATAAAAGCCCCGGGATCCCACCAATGTGGTAGCATGGACCGGGAAGCAGTTTCACATCAGAGCGGAGTTTCACAGCCTTTCAGGAAGAAGCGAAGATGGTGCACGAAGCCAGGTATTTGAACAAAAGGAGGAGGAGGTGGTGAGAGGTAAGGAAGAAATCAAAAGAAGTGGAAAAAAGCAACACCAGCAGCCAACAAATGGCACTCAGGGAGTTGGCCGGTGTGGGCAAGTGGAATCCCAGCAGCCAGTGCTTCCTAGCCAAGAGTCTGTGGCCACAGGGAGCAGAAGAAGGCCGAGTCTGGGCGAAGAAGGGTGGGGGGTGGGAAAGCATATGTTGCTGGTTACCGGTTATTCTGTCTCCTACTGGAAGCTCCGTAAAGCTGCTTTCTTATACCCCCTGTTCTCTGGTCTCTGATAGGAGTCCAAGATGGCGGACGTGTGCTGTGGTAGCTGATAGGGGACCTCTGCATGTATGTCTCCTCACTCTGTGTTCTCTGTCAGTTTCTTATTCCATTTGGTGCTTGGCTGAGTTCTTTCTTTCTTCATTTGATGCTTAGGGTTTCAGGATTGCTGTTTTCTCTGTTTGGCTTAGTTTTTCGGATCTTTGCTGTGGAGGGACGGCGTGGTGCTTCTGCGTAGAGCGCCATGTTGCCAGAAGTCTGAACCACCAACGTTTTGGTAAGCTGCCGAGCGCTTAACCATTTGGACTACCTAGGGATTATACCATTAATGCACCTAAACATGAACACAAAGGCCTCCACTGCAGCTTTCTTCATGTGTGCACATATGCAGTGAAGAAGTTTTAAATAGTTGCAGTAATAGGAGTATAGCTTTTTGGATAGTTCACTGCTTATGGGCTCCATCAGCAGAACTGCAGGGAAAAAAAGACACAACTGAAAACCACCTGTCTCCTTGTTAATAGCAGGAAAAGGGGCTTGTTGTGGGGCCAGAGGTTGGAATAAATAGTTGACATAAAAATATGGCCAGTTCATGGGTTTCATTTATCCAGTACTTTCCCATGTCTCAGTACACTAGGCATTGATGACAGAAAGTTCAAAGCCTTCTGCGTAGTGAACCTCGTAATGCAGAGCAGAGGTTGGGGTCGGGCCGAGGCCTTGACTCAGACACTTCTGGCTGCCCTGAAACCAACCCCTTTCAGCTCAGCTTCCCTTCTGCCAGGAGGCCAGCTTTTGTTTCTTTTTTTCATAGCTCTCTTGCAGATACTGAGATAGGCTTTAACGGTAGCAGCTCATTTTAGGAAAAGGAGGCCAAGTCCACAACGCTGGAAATCGGCCTGGAGGTTTTGTGAAATGCAGCAGAATTATCTTCTCCACCACTACTAAAACGGAGAAACCGATGTTTTGGGGTGCTGACTGCTCTAGTGGCACTGAGTTTCCTGCACACACTGTCAGGAAGCACACAGCGGGCACCAGCTTCCCGTTGCCATGGGTCGTACCAGCTGGCCAAGGACACGTTCTGCTTTGGAGGGGGTTGATGGGACTCCTGTATTGGGATAAGTTTTTCCTCAAAACTTCCCATGCCTTCCTTTTTAAAAATATATTTTTTTCTTTATACAGTTGTGATTTGCGTTATTACACATACGAAAAAATTATTAGACTTTTTGTATTGGTAAAATGTTTGCTCACATTACTCCTTTCTCCTTTCCTGTTACAGACGTGTTCCCATGCAGTGTGCAGTGGCCTTTGTGTTTTATGTGTGTTTTTGTTGTGTTGTCTTTTGCAGTCGAAATCAGCTGTCCACCCTGCCAGCCTGCCTGTGTGGTCTGCCTCTCAAAGTCTTAATCGCAAGTAACAACAAACTTGGATCGCTGCCGGAAGAGATAGGCCAACTCAAACAGTTAATGGAATTGGTATGTTGCTGATTGTCAACATGTTGTTTTTTGTTTGTTTACTGATCATAACCTAGCTGTGTAGAGAGACTTTTTGCAGCAGTTGGGCAAGGAGGAGCTTCAGTTGTTTGAGGACAGTGTACGACAGACATTAGCAGGGAGGGTAACAGCTTTGGCTTTTCTGTGATATAGAGACAGTTTCTGAAATAGTTTACAGGTTATCATATTGTAATTAGATAATTTTTTTAGATGGCTTGTAAGTTCATGATAAATTATGGATAAACTGGCAAAATGATCTACAAACAAGTTTGTAGGCCATACTTTATAAAGATGTATAATTGAGTCAGGGCTCAGGAGACAGTAAGAATAGAGCGCTCTGATTCTGTAAGGGTTTTAGAAAGCGTTGCCTGAAATTGATGCAACTTGAAAAATGTGACTATGTCCCTGGAGATTAAAAAAAGAAGAACAAGTTATCAAGGGCAGAGTTGGGTAAGTGTGTGCCTAAAGCTGAGATGTACTGTTCTGTTTCAGCTCTTTCATTGCTAATTTAATTACTTAACTTGTTTTAAAATGGGGAAAGAGTGCATCCTTTCTAGGTTTCCATTGAGCTAAGATGAGCAGAAAAACGAGGCAAGGAAGAAAAATCGGGGTAAAGGATAATTCATCCTTGAATGATGCAAATGATTAAACGCGCTTGGCTGCTAATTGGAGGGTTGGCAGTTCAAGTCTGCCCAGAGTTGCCTTGGAAGAAAGCCTTGGTGATCTACTTCTGAGAGGCCACAGCCATTGAAAACCCTATGGAGCACTGTTCTACTCTGACACACATGGGGTTGCCATGCGTTGGAGTCAACTTGATGGCAACTAGTATTTACCAAGCAAGCATTATTCAGTATGGACTTTGTGTCAAGCCGAGAGCTCAGTGTTGTAATTAAAACAATGAAAAGGACACAGTACCTGTCTTCAGGTAGATCCCAATATGGAACATTGAGGGCGAATAAGTGTCCCAACAGTTTCTTAGGAGTTACCTGGAACACCATGGTGAGATGAACAGTGAGGCCCTGATAGAGAGGCTGTGATCAATTAGTCATGTCTGCAGTGGCAATTAACTAGGAGAGTGACAGCATCCCTGCCACATATTCAACTTTGACTTTCATAGTACCAGTCAACTCTGACTCATGGCAACCCCATGTGTTCAGAGTAGAACTATGCTCCTTAGGGTTTTTAGTAGCTGATTTTTCTGAAGTAGATCACCAGGCTTTTCTTCTGAGGCTCCTCGGGGTGAATTGGAACCTCCAGTCTTTTGGTTAGCAGCCGAGTATGTAACCATTTGCACCTGCCAGGGACTCTTGACTTTAGTATAAACCAAACCAAAACCTTGCTATCAGGTTGATTCCGACTCATAGTGACCCTGTAGGAAAGCGCAGAGCTGCCCCATAGGGTTTCCAAAGCTGTGATCTTTACGGAAGCGTACTGCCACATCTTTCTCCTACAGGAGTGGCTGGTGGATTTAAACCTCTGACTCGTTCAGTTAGCAGCTGGGCCTTAACCACTGCACCACCAGGGCTCCTTTGACTTAGGTATAGAAAAGAGTAATTGCTATATAATGGGATTAGAACTATAAAAAAGAGTGTCTTCTTCAGTACATATTTGATGGCAATAACTGAAACCCATTCAGACTAGCTTACTCCAAAAGTAGGGATTGGTCGTAAGGATGCAAGGGTCTATAATGTCATTCAGTATCAAGAAATTTAGTCAAGTAGCATGAGCGACTAAAACAAGACACTAGAAAGTGGTCAAGAACCAAGGCAATGATTTGTTTCTCTCTCAGCATTCTCTGCTTCTTTGTATGATAGCAGAGGCTGCCCAGTCCACAGATCCCAACTTTACACGTCCTCCCAGCCAAAGCACATGACAGAGACCTACCAGCATCTCTCGGCCCTAGTTTCTAAGTGAGAGCAAGGCTAGGGTCCACTATCCAACGTCGTCTCCTCACCCAGTCAGTGATGGCCAAGGCACACAGTCACATTGCCCAGACTAAGTCACTCAGATGCTACAGAAGAGAGCAATTCTAAAAGAAGACAGTGTTAATTTGGGCAGACATCCCACTTACAGGAAGCATGTGCATGAGTTAGGGAATGATTCAGTCAGTGTTGGAATAGGAGAGGTCTGTAAAGGAAGAAACATTTGAGAGGCCTCTTGCCTTAGTTACCTAGTGCTGCTGTAACAGAAAGACCACAAGTGGGTGGCTTTAAAGAAGGGAAATGTATTTTCTCACAGTTCAGGAGTCTGGAAGCCCAAATTCAGGGCACTGGCTCTAGGGGAAGGCTTTCTCTGTTGGCTCTGGTGGGGGAAATCCTCATCTTAGCTTCTCAGCCCCATCTTTCCTCAGTTCCTTGGTGATCTCCACATGGCATCTATTTTCTTCCATTTGTGCTGGCTTGTCTCTGTGTCTTTGCTGCTCCCGGCTAACTCAGAAGTGATTAGGTTTAGGGACACACTCTACACTGGTATAGCCTCATTAACATAACAAAGAAAACTATTTCCAAAAGAGATTCTATCCACAGGTATAGGGGTTAGGATTCCCACATGTATTTTAGGGGAACATACTTCAATCCATGTTGTTGTTGTTAGGTGCCTTCGAGTCAGTTCCAGCTCATAGCGACTCCGCGTAAAACAGAATGAAACACTGTCTGGTCCTGTGCCATCCTCACAATTGTTGCTATGTTTGAGCCCATGTTGCAGCCACTGTGTCAATCCATCTCGTTGAGGGTCTTCCTTACCAAGGACCCTCTGTCCTTCTCCAGGGACGGATCCCTCCTAATAACATATCCAAAGTATGTGAGACAAAGTCTCACCATCCTTACTTCAAGGAGCATTCTGGTTGTACTTCTTCCAAGACAGATTGGTTCATTCTTCTGGCAGTCCATGGTATATTCAATATTCTTCTCCAGCACCATAATTCAAAGGCATCAATTATTCTTTGGTCTTCCTTATTCATTGTCCAGCTTTCACATGTATATGTGGTGATTGAAAATACCATGGCTTGGGTCAGGTGTACCTTAGTTGTCAAAGTGGTATCTTTGCTTTTTAACACTTTAAAGAGGTCTTTTGCAGCAGGTTTGCCCAATGTGCTATGTCCTTTGATTTCGTGACTGCTGCTTCCATGGGCATTGATTGTGGATCCAAGTAAAATGAAATCCTTCACAACTTCAATCATTTCTCCGTTTATCATAATGTTGCTTATTGGTCCAGTTGTAAGGATTTTTGTTTTCTTCATGTTGAGGCGTAATCCATTCTGAAGGCTGTAGTCTTTGATCTTCATCATAAGTGCTTCAAGTCCTCTTCACTTTCAGCAAGCAAGGTTGTGTCATCTGCATAATGCAGGTTGTTAATGAATCTTCCTCCAATCCTGATGCCCCGTTCTTCTTCATACAGTCCAGCTTCTCAGATCGTTTGCTCAGCGCACAGATTGAAAAAGTGTGGTGAAAGGATACAACCCTGATGCACACCTTTCCTGATTTTAAACTATGAAGTATCCCCTTGTTCTGTTCAAAAGACTGCCTCTTGGTCTATGTACAGGTTCCACATGAGCACAATTAAGTGTTCTAGAATTCCCATTCTTCGCAGTGTTATCCATAATTTGTTATGACCCACACAGTAAAATGTCTTTGCATATTCCATAAAGTACAGGTGAACATGAATTTATAACACCCCTTAATAGACCTCTGTGGGATTTTCTAGATGGAAAAAAGAAGGCAGGGGCAGGGAAGGCATTCAAGGGAGACTGGACAGCTGGTGCAAAGGCAGACAGCCTGGAGGTACCTGGCATGCTTGGGGAGTGGAAGCAGGTTAATCCTGCTGAGGTCTAGGTAGAATGGGGCTGGGCGCTTTGTCCTCTTGGCCACTGCCTTCGATTTAGGCCACCACCAGCTCCTTCACGTGGCATTCATGGTCTTCTGTGGTCTGGCCCCTGCTTACCTCTCCAGGTTCATTTCTGCCTCTAAGTTCTGGAAGTGCACCTTGTTCACTTTCACTTCATGATTCTGCACACACCACTCTTTCTGCATGGACTGTTTCTTCCTTCCACTCTTATTTTGGTCTCTTCCTAGCCAAATTAGAGATCACTTTCTCCAAAAAGCCTTCCCCGAGGCTCCAAGACTCAGGTGCTCCTAAGGCAAGCACCCTATGCTTACCATTTAATTTTCGTGGACTCACAGTTGTCTTTGTACTTGCTTTCTCCACACCAGCTCCCCTCACACCTTGAAAGGTGTGTCTTACTTGCTGTTGTGTCCTAGGTGCCTGGCACAAGATAAGAAACCAAACCAGTTGCCGTCGAGTTAACTCCGACTCATGGCTACTCGTGTGTCAAAGTAGAGCTATGCTCCACAGGGTTTTCAATGGCTGTGATCTTTCAGAAGTAGATAGCTAGGTCTTTCTTCCCAGGCACCTCTGGGCGGATTTGAACAGCCTACTTTTTGGTTAATAGTTGAGCGCTTGACTGTTTATGCCACCCAGGGCCCTTGGCACATGATTGGTGTTGTTGGCTGCTATCACGTCGATTGTGACTCATAATAACCCCACGTGACAGAGTAGAACTGCCCCGTAAGGTTTTCTCGGCTGTCATCTTTATGGAAGCAGATCGCCAGGTCTTTCTCCTGTGGAGCCACTGGGTGTGTTCATACTGCCAACCTTTTGGTTAGCAGCCCAGTGCTTAACCATTGCGCCTAGGTGCTCAATAAGTGTTTGCTAAATGTTGTTGTCATGTGGCAGAAAGTGAGCCTAGAAAGATGCAGATCGAAGCCACAATGAGATACCACTTCACTCCCATTAAGAAGGATAAGATTAAAAAAAAAAAACAAAACTGGAAAATAGCGAATGTTGGTGAGAATTGGAGAAATCAGAACCCGCATTCATTGCTGGTGAGAATGCAAAATGGTACAGCCACTGTGGAAAACGGTTTGATGGTTCATCAAAAAGTTAAAAATACAGCTACCATTTGACCCAGCAATCCCACTCTTAGT